AACCAATCAACATGCTTCTTCATCAGGTTCAAGATTTAAAAATTATATATTTGATTTTTGGAAAATAACTCCTGATTACAGAAGGGGAATAACTCTTGTTAAGCTTAGAAAAGTCAGACAACAACAGATTCATCTACTCACTGTAGTTAACAATCTGTAAATGTGAACTTTTTTTTTCTGTCCATCTCTCCATACTCGAGCCATCGCCTATAACAAAACATTACAAAGTTTCCTAGTTAATTTATATATTTAGAATAAATCTGACAATCTGGCTCTCACTAGAAGTGGTGCCTTGGGAGTGTAACGAGGGCCCCTAGAGAATTATTATTTTTATAAGTTTTTGCCCTTAAGTATGTGTCAAGAGGCACCAAATCAATTATATTTTTTTGAAACTTTTCTGTGGAGGACCCTCTGCGATTTAGGACTATGACGCCTTCAGAGTTGCCGCATTCTGAATACAGCTTCGACAGTTGTCCCCCCCACCGTATTTGTACCCCCAGTATCAGGAGGCTGGCACCCCCACTGGCTTATAAAAGTGTAATTTACAACAAATTTATCAGTAACAGGACAGATAGCCACAGTAGAGGGTATAAAACAGGAGAAAACCATGCTAACCAATCAAAACTCTTGTATACACTAAAGGCCATTTATACCTGAAGATCATTGGCTGGATTCCAATCTATATCGTAAAGTACGAGACGAGATGCACCAATCAGATTCAAGCCTACTCCACCAGCTTTACTACTCAATAAAAATACACCTATAATATAAAAACGTTTATAAAATTTTAACCTCAGTATGTTGTTTATAAAGGAAACTGTATAACTATATAAACTGTATAACTATATAAACTATATAAACTGTATAACTATATAAACTGTATAACTATATAAACTGTATAACTATATAAACTGTATAACTATATAAACTATATAAACTGTATAACTATATAAACTATATAAACTGTATAACTATATAAACTGTATAACTGTATAACTATATAAACTATATAAACTGTATAACTATATAAACTGTATAACTATATAAACTGTATAACTATATAAACTGTATAACTATATAAACTGTATAACTATATAAACTGTATAACTATATAAACTGTATAACTGTATAACTATATAAACTGTATAACTATATAAACTGTATAACTGTATAACTATATAAACTGTATAACTATATAAACTGTATAACTATATAAACTGTATAACTGTATAAACTGTATAACTGTATAAACTGTATAAACTGTATAACTATATAAACTGTATAACTATATAAACTGTATAACTATATAAACTGTATAAACTGTATAACTATATAAACTGTATAACTATATAAACTGTATAAACTGTATAACTGTATAACTATATAAACTGTATAACTATATAAACTGTATAACTATATAAACTGTATAACTGTATAAACTGTATAACTGTATAAACTGTATAACTGTATAACTATATAAACTGTATAACTTTATAAACTGTATAACTGTATAACTATATAAACTGTATAACTGTATAACTATATAAACTGTATAACTGTATAACTATATAAACTGTATAACTATA